TAATAATTAACATTTTAATAATAAATTGTAATAAACATTTTTTTTTATAAAAACAAACAAATAATAATTCATAAATAAAAATTATTAAATTATAGTAAAATAATAACTAATTATTTATCATAATTTTTGTTAGCATAACAATAATTGCTAAATGAAAAAATTAATTAAAATATTAACAATTTAATTAATATTATAATTTTTTATTAACGATTTTTTTATCATTATTTATATTGATAAATAAAAAATATTTACTTTATTTACAAAACTAAAAATTATTATTTTCCTGTAAATTATCCACAAAATAAAAAATTAAATTATAAACCAAAATAATTAAATCAAATAATTTAAAATTCAATAATAAAATCTAATATTATGTAAAAAAATTTTTTTATGTATACCTTTGGGAACCGGTAAAACCGGACAGCTGTACGTCCACTGCAGGCAATACCCGCAGGGGATTCCCGGTACGGGTGGTGTCAGTCAAACAAAAAAAAAACAAAAACAAACTTTCTTTAATACCCAGGCCTTCAAAATACAGACATTTTTTTTGGGCAACAAATCACTGGTTATTATATCACTTTTAGTATTACTATTTGAAAACATCGGTAATGTCTGTAAAAAGTTTTTTTTTATTGAACCCCTGGGATATTACCGGCCAAATGATGGCAAACAAAATGATTATAATAATAATAATAAAGTCCATTAGTATTACCTTTTTTGTTATTGATTTCACTGGTGGACAGTTGGTTGTCAATTGGATTAGTTAGGTCATCAAAGCACTGGTAGTTTTTTACCTACTAAACTATCGGCACTATTATTATTATTATTAATAACTGCATCGGCTATAGCTTTATCAACATATTTTGATAGTGTCTCATATATATATATACGGGACTCACGGCACTACTGGTAGGCCTACTGTCGGTTAGGGGCGGCGAGGTTTTCAGATATCGCCACAATCGGAGACTACCCTAAAAAAATAGTTACTAATAGCTGGCCAAACAGTTCACGACTGGCCTCTCAATCACCAGTCACCCCGTCTGTATCAATGTCCGGACGACAGCTACCGGTGCTGTCAGTAGTAGTAGTGGTGGTAGTAGTGGTAGTAGTGGTAGTAGTGGTAGTAGTGGTAGTAGTGGTAGTAGTGGTAGTAGTGGTAGTAGTGGTAGTAGTGGTAGTAGTGGTAGTAGTGGTAGTAGTGGTAGTAGTGGTAGTAGTGGTAGTAGTGGTAGTAGTGGTAGTAGTGGTAGTAGTGGTAGTAGTGGTAGTAGTGGTAGTAGTGGTGGTAGTAGTGGTGGTAGTAGTGGTGGTAGTAGTGGTGGTAGTAGTGGTGGTAGTAGTGGTGGTAGTAGTGGTGGTAGTAGTGGTGGTAGTAGTAGTGGTAGTAGTAGTGGTAGTAGTAGTGGTAGTAGTAGTGGTAGTAGTAGTGGTAGTAATAGTGGTAGTAGTAGTGGTAGTAGTAGTGGTAGTAGTAGTGCTATCCAGACAACCTCCAGTAGTGGTCGGTCCAGACACCAGGTGCTCATCGATTCCAATACAAACTTATAGGTAATTTCACTGATAATAGTTAGGATGTCGTGATCGGTATCGGCACCGGTAGTTGTTTTTTTTGTATTACTACTACTACTACTACTACTTCAACTAACTGGCTTAACAAAGTTAAGTACCGAAAAAATTGGTAGCAAATGTCGCCACCAATAGCACCGGTCCCTAATAGTTGACATGTTTTATATATACCTATGATTGACAACAAAAACAAAAATTAATTAATTAATTATGTTTAGTATTATTATTATTATTATTATTACTGTATTTAAGAAATAAATTAAACAAAATTATAAAATTTATGATGAATTATAATATATTTTTTTAAATATCATATTTTTGTATTTTTTTAAAAATAAATATATTTTCCATTAATTGGTAAATAAATAAATAATTATTTTTTATGTTTGAATATAAAATCATTTTTAAGTTTAAAATTACATGTTTAGTACATGTATACTATTATTTAATTATTTTATTGTAATTTTATTAATGTTAAACTATATTTAATTAAGTATTTTTTGTACATTTATTTATTTTTTTTTGCTTAATATAACATTAATATTATCTAAAAAAAAGTTAGTTATACAACAAATATCATCTATAAATAGTAATATAAATATTAAATTTCTATTATTATTATTATTATAACTTTGTTGTTGTTGTTGTTGTTGTAGTTTTTATTAGCAGTTTATGAAAAGTTTATTTTTATAAAATGAAATATAAAATAATAGATAAATATATTTTATATATATATACTATTATGTAATACTGTATTAAATTACATTACATTTATAAGCATTATTGCAATATTTGTAATATTATTATTACAATAAAATACTACAATAATAATTGTATCATTTTTCATATATATAGTTATTTACAATATATATATATATTTATATGTAATATTATGTCAAAGTATGAAATATTTTTTTTTTTAAATAATTGTTATATCAAATTGCTATTTATATATATATATATATATAATAGTATATATATATAATACAATATATATAATTGTCTGGCAAAAAAATATTATAGACAAACAATAACTATTTTATATATATATAGAAATCAAATTTTTAAACATTTAATAGTTTATTAGATTAAAATTTATTTATCAATATTTTATATGTGTTTTATTCACTTTTTATTTGCTGTAATATTATTTTTCAAAATAAAATAAAATAAATATTTTACAACTATTTAAATTATGAATCATTTTTTTGATAAAAATCAATACCTGTATATATAATAATAATGTAATATTATAGTAATAATAATAATAATAATAATAATATAAAAAAATCAAATATCGTTTTGTAAATGTTAAACAAGTTTTCTTATATTTATATATTAATTATAATAATTAATATCTAATTTAATTTATGTCTATTTATGGTATATTTATTTACTATGATATATATGTATAACATATGTTCAAAAATATATGTATATTATGTTTGTTTTATTTGATTATATATATATATATATATATATATATATATATACGGTATTATATATATATTAAACTTTATATACATTACACATTTACATGCATTGTATTATTTATTTTTTATTAAATGCATTGTAGTATTTAGATATATATTTAATTTTTTAAAAAATTGTACAAAAAATTGTTTATTTATATTATTTAACAAATATATGTATAATTTTGACAAATAATATTATACAAAATATTTTTTTCTATTAATTTATATTATTAATTAAAAAATATATATATAATTTATCAGATATTAGATGTAATTTTTATTTATTTATTTTTTAAAGTTATCTATTTTTTATTTCTAACTAAATATTTATTTAAATGAATATTAAATTTCAATTATTATTATTATTATTATTGCTTTAATTGTTTGTTTTTATAAGCAGTATTTACAACAACAAAAAATATTTGATAAATAAATATTAAATTACAATACATTACAATAAATTTTGTTATTATTATATAATAAAATACTATCATTTATAATATTGTTTTGCATATATATATATATATATATATATATAAGTTTGTATATATAGTTGCAATAATATTATATAATCTTAAAATATATCTATAAAAAAATAATTTATTTAATATAATAAGTTCTATATATATATATATATATTTATTTTTAGTCAAAAAATGATATCAAATTTTATTTAATCTATTAGTAAGAAATTAATATTTTTATTTTTTGAAAATATATTTCAATTATGAATCATCTTTATATGAAATCAATAGTACATGTAGTGATGTAATATTATTGCAACAATAATAATATAAAAAATAAAATAAAATTAATAATAAATATCTTATGATTTGCTTTTAGTAAATTTTTCTTAGTTAGCTTATTTTTTTGTTACATAATTTTTTAATTATTAATTTACGATATATACAGTACATGTATAATATACAGTATATATATATATATATATATATATATATATATATATAATCAGGGTTGGCAGATAAAAATTTTATTTTTGAATAATAAATTAGTAATTATACCATACATACAAAAAAAAGTATAGTATATTATTATAATAGATAAATTGATTTTTTAAACTTTTTTAAAAAAATTTTAGTTTTACTATACGATATTATTAATGTGGATTTAGTTTTTTTGCATATTTATTAATATAGGAAACAATTATTATTATTATTATTATAAAATAATTATGACAATTAATTAGGATTTTATTCAAATATTTTTTTATATATAAATATTTAATAATATTATATATAGTATTAGTTTTATTTTTTTTAAAAATGTATTATACAAACAAAATTTTGCAATGTTTAACTAGTTATACAATAAACAAATTTCAATAATAATAATAATAATAAATTGTATTTTTTATACCCTATAATAATGTAATACAGTATACATACCGTTATGTATATTATTTTTATTTTATTTTTTGTTGATTATATGATCCATTGATATAATATTTATTTATTATATATACATTTTTTTACCATTTCTTACTTCTTATGCTTTTTTATAGATAATATGATAATTAATGCAATTTTATTTATTGACTTATAAACTTTGAAAAGTGTTCTTTCATTTGATATCAAATTTGTTTATTTAAGTTAAAAAATAAAAAAGTTATTAAAGTTCAAAGTTAATGATATCAATATTTTTGCGATACGAAATTAAATTATGTTTGCAGTGTATATTATAGATATATATTGAAATAATTTTTTTTTTAAAAAACAAATTTGATTTTGAAATAAAATTAAAACAGTTTTGTTTTGGATGTCAATGGATTGGTTTTAGTTGTTAGAATAAAATCAAATAAAAATAAATAATTTTTATTTTAAAATTATAAAAATTTTCATAGATTTTTATTTTAAATAATTTTTTATTCAATTATGATTAAACAAATTATTTTATTATTAATTAATTTTGTTTATTACGATTATTATTTAAATTATTTAATTATGTTAATTTTGATAGCGTTATTATTTAATTTTTGTTTGTATGTTATTTAACTAAATTTTAATATATTTATTTTAAAAAAATAAATAATTAAAAAAATGTAGATTAAAAAATAAATTTAGATAATTTAGATAATTAAATAATATTTTTGTTTATTTATTTTGTTAATAATTAATTAATTATTTTTTAAAAAATAGCAAATGGTATCGACTATTAAGTTATTGGAAATCACGTAATATTAGTGGACCCAAACCGTTACCCGTTTACGGTAATATGTTTGAACGGTTTTACAAACCATACGCCCGAATACAACTAGACTGGTGTAGAAAATTTGGCAAAATTTTCGGGTAATTATTATTAAAAAAAAACTAATTTTGTTTTTTAAAAGTAGATTTTATTTTTAAAAAAAACTATCAATTACTAACTATAGTTTTTTTTATTGTATATTAATTGTTTGTTTATACCAGTAATTTAACCTAGTCTATATTTTTGAATTTATTAATTAAAAATATTAAAAATTTAACTAGACAGTTTTTAATTAAATTGATTTAATTATTTTTGTTATTATAATCTTACAATAAATATTACTATTAAAAAAATTAATTTTAAATCAATACAGTATATACAGTATATTAATATATATGAACATTTTTTAAAATATTAATATTAATTATTTTTTAGTTTTTATATTAAAAAATTTAATTATAATATTTAATAATAATAATAATACTCACAAATTAGTGTATACTCTGGCGATAAGCCAGTCCTGATTGTTGCCGACCGGGTAGTCATCAAACAAATACTAGTCAAAGATTTTCATTTATTTCGTAACCGCGGCGGCGGCGGTAGTGGTGGTGGTCCCGGATCTATACACCCGATACTATCAAAGTCCATATTTGTGGCCCGCGATGACCAGTGGCGTCAAATACGTATGATATTTAGTCCGACATTTACCGCATCAAAGTTACGCCATATGTACGGCCTAATGGACCGATGTTCAGCCGATCTTATTGGCCATTTGGACAACAGTTTGCTAACTACCGCCGGCACAGAGACAGCTGATGGCACAGAGACAGTAGCGGCACTGGATCTGCGACAAACAATGGGCTCCTATACTATGGATGTGATAGCCCGGTGCGCGTTCGGCATCCAATCGGATGTCTACCGATCGGACAATCAGCTAACCTCCAGTGCTAATCAAACATTTGCCGCTATACCCGTGTGGAGGCTAATACTAACCGCTAGTCTACCGAAATTTTGGTGGAAACTAGTCGACCGATTGGTCAGTTTAGTCGCCCGAATAGTTAGTATAGTCAGCGGCGGTAAAGGCGGTCAACAACAACAGCCGCCTCTCGAAAATGTTTCCCATTTTTTCATACAATTGTCGCGCGATTTCATTAGTAAACGATTGAACAGAGAGGTCGGTGCCGTCGGCACTGATGGCCAGCCATTGATATTCAATGATTTTTTGCAGCTTATGATTGACTCGTCGACCGACAACTATTCAAATGGACAGCTAAACAACAACAGCACCCGTAGGTTAACCGAAAACGAAATCCTAGGCCAGTGTTATGTATTTTTTATTGCCGGCTACGATGCACTGGTATCTGCATTGGCCTACTGTCTACACGAACTGGCCGTTAGACCTGAACTACAGGACCGGCTATACGATGAAATCAGCGGATTGTTTGCCGACACCGACGAGTCTACTATCGATTACAATGATCTCAAGCGCCTGGAGTTTATGGATGCCGTCCTAAAGGAAACCTTACGACACTATCCGCCGGTTATAAACCTGGAACGTGAGGCCCGACAGGACGTAACACTAACCGATAGTACTGGTAGTAGTAGTATAGTCATAGCCAAAGGTACACAACTGGAGATACCGGTGTATGCCATACATCACGACCGGGACTACTATCCCGAACCCGATTTGTTCGAACCAAACCGTTTTATGTCGACGTCGGGTGGCGGGGCTGATGGCGGCCAATGGCCACCAATTGAGTCGTACACATACATGCCGTTTGGTTTGGGTCCGCGTAACTGTTTGGGCACACGTTTGGCCGTACAGTCGGCCAAACTAGCACTCGTCAAACTGGTCAGCAGATATCGGTTCAGTCCCGTAGCCGATACCCAGTGGCCGCCCGAGTTTATTTCGGGTGCTTCCCGTCGGTTTCAACTACAAGCCGATCGCTTAATTGTCGGTATTCACAAACGTGTTGTTTTTTGATTAGGTTATGGGTGTATGGGTGGGTGTGTTTGGTGGGATTATATTTGAATATTGTGGGTGTGGGTGATTTGATTTTTAAAAATTAAAATAATTGAATAATATCTATAATATAATATTTATAACATTAAAATTATTTTTTAAAATGTGTAATAAAATCAAATTTTATTCAAAATATATTTATATAAAAAAAATGATTTTAAAACTGTTTTTATTAACTAGGCAGTTTTTAATTAAAAAAAAAAATTAAATCTATGTAATTTATGTATTTTTTTGATTTAATTAATATTGTTATTATATTCCTATAAATATTAATATATATCAAAAAAAAATAATTTTTAAATCAATACAGTATATACAGTATATTAATATATATAAACATATTTTTTAAAAATATTAATTATTTTAGGTTTTTAAAAATTATTATTTTTAATAATAATAATAATAATACTCACAAATTAGTGTATACTCTGGCGATAAGCCAGTCCTGATTGTTGCCGACCGGGTAGTCATCAAACAAATACTAGTCAAAGATTTCCATTTGTTTCGTAACCGCGGCGGCGGCGGTAGTGGTGGTCCCGGATCTATACACCAGATACTATCAAAGTCCATATTTGTGGCCCGCGATGACCAGTGGCGTCAAATACGTACGATATTTAGTCCGACATTTACGGCGGCAAAGTTACGCCATATGTACGGCCTAATGGACCGATGTTCAGCCGATCTTATTGGCCATTTTGACAACAGTTTGCTAACTACCGCCGGCACAGAGACAGCTGATGGCACAGAGACAGTAGCGGCACTGGATCTGCGACAAACAATGGGCACCTATACTATGGATGTGATAGCCCGGTGCGCGTTTGGCATCCAATCGGATGTCTACCTAACTGACAATCAGCTAACCTCCAGAGTTAACCAAACATTTGCCGCAATACCTGTGTGGCGGCTAATACTGACAGCTAGTCTACCGAAATTTTGGTGGAAACTAGTCGACCGACTGGTCAGTCTAGTCGACCGAATAGTTAGTATAGTCAGCGGCGGTAAAGGCGGTCAACAACAACAGCCGCCGTCCGAAAATGTTTCCCATTTTTTCATACAATTGTCGCGCGATTTCATTAAGAAACGATTGAACAGAGAGGTCGGTGCCGTCGGCACTGATGGCCAGCCATTGATATTCAATGATTTTTTGCAGCTTATGATTGACTCGTCGACAGACAACGATTCAAATGGACAGTTAAACAACAACAGCACCCGTAGGTTAACCGAAAACGAAATCCTAGGCCAGTGTTATGTATTTTTTATTGCCGGCTACGATGCACTGGTATCTGCATTGGCCTACTGTCTACACGAACTGGCCGTACGACCAGAACTACAGGACCGGCTATACGATGAAATCAGCGGATTGTTTGCCGACAACGAGTCTACTATCGATTACAATGATCTCAAGCGCCTGGAGTTTATGGATGCCGTCCTAAAGGAAACCCTTAGACACTATCCGCCGGTCATAAACTTGGAACGGGAGACCCGACAGGACGTAACACTAACCGATAGAATTGGTAGTAGTAGTATAGTCATAGCCAACGGTACACAACTGGAGATACCGGTGTATGCCATACATCACGACCGGGACTACTATCCCGAACCCGATTTGTTCGAACCAAACCGTTTTATGTCGACGTCGGGTGGCGGGGCTGATGGCGGCCAATGGCCACCAATTGAGTCGTACACATACATGCCGTTTGGTTTGGGTCCGCGTAACTGTTTGGGCACACGTTTGGCCGTACAGTCGGCCAAACTAGCACTCGTCAAACTGGTCAGCAGATATCGGTTCAGTCCCGTAGCCGATACCCAGTGGCCGCCCGAGTTTATTTCGGGTGCTTCCCGTCGGTTTCAACTACAAGCCGATCGCTTAATTGTCGGTATTCACAAACGTGTTGTTTTTTGATTAGGTTATGGGTGTATGGGTGGGTGTGTTTGGTGGGATTATATTTGAATATTGTGGATGTGGGTGATTTGATTTTTAAAAATTAAAATAATTGAATAATATCTATAATATAATATTTATAACATTAAAATTATTTTTTAAAATGTGTAATAAAATCAAATTTTATTCAAAATATATTTATATAAAAAAATGATTTTAAAACTGTTTTTATTAACTAGGCAGTTTTTAATTAAAAAAAAAAAATTAAATCTATGTAATTTATGTATTTTTTTGATTTAATTAATATTGTTATTATATTCCTATAAATATTAATATATATCAAAAAAAATAATTTTTAAATCAATACAGTATATACAGTATATTAATATATATAAACATATTTTTTTAAAATATTAATTATTTTTGGTTTTTAAAAATTATTATTTTTAATAATAATAATAATAATACTCACAAATTAGTGTATACTCTGGCGATAAGCCAGTCCTGATTGTTGCCGACCGGGTAGTCATCAAACAAATACTAGTCAAAGATTTCCATTTGTTTCGTAACCGCGGCGGCGGCGGTAGTGGTGGTGGTCCCGGATCTATACACCCGATACTATCAAAGTCCATATTTGTGGCCCGCGATGACCAGTGGCGTCAAATACGTACGATATTTAGTCCGACATTTACGGCGGCAAAGTTACGCCATATGTACGGCCTAATGGACCGATGTTCAGCCGATCTTATTGGCCATTTGGACAACAGTTTGCTAACTACCGCCGCCACAGCTGATGGCACAGTGACAGTAGCGGCACTGGATCTGAGACAAGCAATGGACTCCTATACT